GCCAGCTTCCAGCCACTGCTACCACCGCCGCCAGACTGTCCGCGCTGCCCCGGTCGACCTCCTTGCTTTGCCGAGGCGACGAGGTTCGCCTGCGCCAAGAGCTACTGTAACCGCTCTACCTCCTGCATCGCCTCGTCCTGCAGGATGTACGAGGTCAAGTTGTCCTCGTTGAGCGTCGTCCTAGTGCTCGGCGCCATTGACAGCCGCTTCAGAAGGTTGTAGCTGCTCGAGAGTCCCTGCATGACGTGGGTGACGTACGACGCCGTCGAGTACTGCGCGCCGGCCATCCTGATGGTGGCGAGAATTCGCCGGGCTCGGTTGCAGTAGTCGGTCGCTGTCTCCTCGTCGCCCATACGCAGGTGCGTCAGCTGCCCCTCCAGCTGGGCGATGAACAAGTCGTCGGTGACTTGGTAGGTCGACTCAATGAAGTGCCACGCCTGGTGGCCAGCGTCGAGGTACTCTCGGCACCACTTCAAGGCGATCTGCACGCCCGGCGAGCAGCACCGCGAGATGACCGTGAAGGTCAACAGCTGCACGGCGCGGAACTCCGCACGCAAGTCGGGGTCGTCCGGCGTCGCCACGGTGCCTCGAGCAAAGCTGATCAGCCCGGCCATCTCCAGCTGGGGCTCGATGGCTTCCTTCCAGGTAAGTATGTCGGGTCGACCAGTGAGCGGCGGAGTGACCAAGATCCTATCCGGCGTGAACTTAAAGTAGCCGTAGCTCGGTGCAATCCCGCCTGCTGTCACCTGGGTCGCCGACATCGGCAGAGACCCACTTCGTCGACCTCCGACATTGCCATGCGAGGAGCCTGCAGCCGCCGACGGCCGCACTCCCTGCGCCAGAACGCCGCCGACTTCATCGGCATGTATCACACCTCTCTGCCTAGACGTGCCTCCCGCACTGCTGCCGACCTGGTCACCACCGGCGTTGACGCCCACGTCGACGCCGCCTTCGTTGTTCACCGGTCGAGGAGAGGCAGGTCGAGAAGGGTGCTCCGTCGCCCACATGGTGCGGAGTCCAGCCTCGACGACCGCCCAGGGTATCGCCCCGTACTCCTGGGCCTCATGGCGTCTCCTCGCATCCTCCAGCCGTCCCTCCAGGGTGTCCATAACCTTGGCGTCACCTACGCGCACGCTAGTGACTGCACGGCTGCCGGCCTACGAACAACTTAGGTAAGTGATGTCTACGTCGGCCTGACTGAAAGGTAAGTCGTGTGCCGTCCACGCTCACCGCACCATGCGGAGATAACTACTACAACGGGAGCTAGACTACGGGCTAGGCACGGGTGCTCGTGTGATCTCTGCGTTCGTTGGTCCTTAGTCGTTTTCCTAGTGCACACACAGCTTGCTAGTTCACAGGGAGAATTGGCAAGAGTTTCACTAGGAAATTTTTACAACAATGGTACAATGAAGTTGGCAAGACTACATCAGAGCTAGCATGCAAGCAGGATGACTGTCAGTGCAGCACGGTCGACCGTGTGCCAGAACGACTTGGTCGACCGCGCTCCAGCAGTGCAGAGTCGCGGCTTGCCACCGCTGCAAGTCGACGGCGTGACAACAGCGCAAGTCGACGGCATGCCAGCGTTGCTCCCGCAGTACAGCATCGCACCCGCTTCGCAGGTGCTCGCAGATGATTGGCGTGCAGTGCCTCGTCACCTGCACAGTGCACACACCAAGTCCACTTCGTGCTGACGACAGCTGCTGATCAGCCACGTCGACCTCGGGATACCACCACCGAGGTCGTCCTCGCCAAAATCACCTGGGCGAACGTCGCATGCCTCCGCTTAACCTCGTCACCCAGGTAACCTGGTCGACCGAGCAACCAGGTCGACCAGATGCTCCTGTGCGTGCCCGTCGACCACGCAGGTCGACGACCACTTCCAATCGACCTCACCAGGTCGACCACTGCCTCTGGTATGTGCCGGTCGACCTCCCAAGTCGACGGCCACCTCCAGTCGACCTCCCCAGGTCGACCACTACCCCCTGGTCGACCAGCTCCAAGTCGACGTCACTCCAGGTCGACCAGAAGGTCTGGTCGACTTCCCAGGTCGACCAGAAGGGCTGGTCGACTTCCCAGGTCGACCAGAAGGGCTGGTCGACTTACCAGGTCGACCAGAAGGTCTGGTCGACTTCCCAGGTCGACCAGAAGGGCTGGTCGACTTACCAGGTCGACCAGAAGGTCTGGTCGACTTCCCAGGTCGACCAGAAGGGCTGGTCGACTTACCAGGTCGACCAGAAGGTCTGGTCGACTTCCCAGGTCGACCAGAAGGGCTGGTCGACTTACCAGGTCGACCAGAAGGGCTGGTCGACTTACCAGGTCGACCAGAAGGTCTGGTCGACTTCCTAGGTCGACCACCCGAAGTTGGCGCCCTCCCGAAGTCGGCGCCCATGCAGTGGCTCCCCGTGCAGGTCGACCAACCTCGTCGACCAACTCGCCCACTGCTGCAGGTCGGCTGCACCCTACACCCGACCACGAAGTCGGCACCGCCCAAGCGAGGACGGGGCCAACATACAACTCCCGTTGACAGCGGGAAGCATCTGAGTCAAGCGTGAAGGTGTGCAGGGCCGCAGCAGACGTAGTACCAGAGAGAGCAGACTCACCAGCACCTAGGGCAGCAGACTCACTAGCACCTAGAGCTGCAGCTTTTATACATAGGTCTGGCGGCATACACAAGTAACAGTCACCCTCAGCACTAACAGACAATGCATACATGGCAGATAGGATAGCATCAAAGTCTAGAGCAAAGATATCAACATTCTGCCTAAGTAGCGCCGCCCAGTCGGGGAGCTCAGCCGCGTCGGGGAACTCTGCGCGGAAGGTGTCGGTAAGGCAGTACAAGCAGCGGTGCTGAGTGTGAGACCTCCCGCATGTCTGACCAGTGCGGTCACATGTGCGAATGACATACGGGCAGGGACCACTACCCCCAGCCGCCCCACGCTGAGCAAACCACTCACGAAGCTCCTGAGACGAAAGGGGCTGACGCTGCTGCTGCCGCTGGCCACCTCCAAGGCCTCCCCTCTGGCTGGTGCCACCCCTGCCGCCCCTACTGCCGCCACCTCCACCCCCACTGCCGCCACTACCGCCGCCACCACCGCTACCTCCACCACTCCCACTGCCGCCACCCTTGCCGCCACTTGCCCCGCCACCCCCACCACCACTACTGCCTCTACCGCCGCCCCCTCCACCGCCTCCACCGCCGCCTTCACCTCTGCCGCCCCCACCGCCCGTGCCTCCCCTGCCGCCGCGACGCCTCCCACTAGGGGCAGACGCAGCTCCTACCTCCTCAGCACGAAGGTAGTCAACAGCTGCAGCAGAGGCGACGGAGGGGAGAAGGGGGGAGGAGAAGGGGGTACCCCTCAAAGAAGGGGGTGCGAGGAGTGCCACGAGAAGCGCCTACAGCGACTATGCTAGTCTCAACTGCTAGGAGGTGCTTCTCGAGCAGGTCGACAGTGAGGTCTGTGGGGTCAAGTGCTAGGAGGACCTGACTGCAGTAAGAGAGTCAGGGAGGCGGGTGACTGTTAAGTAGAGCGTGATGTACATGGGGGGGGGGGGGGGGGGGGGGGGGGGTTCTTGGCGAGAAACTCAGCGGGGAGCGCAGCACGGTAGCGCGTGTCACTAGTGCGGAGGTGAGTGACTAGGTCAGCTACTGTAGCAAAGGCAGACAGGTCTGGAAATAGGTACGGCAGGAGAAGGCGGCCTAGAGCAGCAGTGGCCGGGGAGGAGTAACGAGCGACTACAGCGTCGTACAGTGCTTTCGCTGTCTTATGCTGGCCAAAGTGGGTGCGTTCGGCTAACGGCAGGTGGTTGCGAACGGCTAGGCGAGCAGCAGCGTCACGAGTAAGCCACTGTGAGCGAGTCGCACTGTCAGCTGTGGCGTCAGGGGCGGGCGAGGCGCCAGAAGTGAGGTCGAACAGCGAGGTACCGTCCTTAGAGTCTGTCAGCAGGAACAGCTGTAAATCGTCTAGCCATGCAGCGAACTCTGGGGCGGCCCTCCGAATCGAATGTGAGAACGTTGAGTGTCGCCATAGCAGGCAGAGCAGTCTAGCGCGCTAGTAGCTGAGCAGCACGCTAGCAGCAGTGCAGCAGGAAGTGCGCTAGCCGTACTACAGCAATAGGGCAGGGTGCGCACAGCAGGGCAGGGCGCGGCGCTCATGTAGGGCGTACTAGCAAGGCAGGGCGCGTGGCGGCGCGGCGCGCGAGCAGGGCAGAGGCGCGCGCGCGGGCAGGGCAGAGGCGCGCGCACGGGCAGGGCAGAGGCGCACGCGCGGCCAGGGCAGCAGCGCGCGGCGCAGGCAGGGCAGAAGCGCGCGCGCGGGCAGGGCAGAAGCGCGCGGCGTGGGCAAGGCAGAGGCGCGCGCGAGGGCAGAGCAGAGGCGAGTGCGCGGGCAGGGCAGAGGCGCGCGGCGTGCTGGCAGCGGAGAGGTGCGCAGCAGCGCAGCTCGTAGGCAGGGCAGAGCGCGCAGCAGCGCGGCGCGCGGGCAGGGCAGGACGCGCGGCGGCGCGGCGCGCGGGCACGGGCAGGGCGCGCGGCTCGACGCGCGGGCAGGGCGACGCGGCGGCGCGACGCGCTGGCAGAGGAGGGCGCGCTGCTGCAGGTGGCGCGCGACTCAGTAGGGCGCGCTGCAGCAGTCAGCGCGCAAGCAAAGCAGTGCACGCTACAGCAGGCAGCGCAGGGCAGTACAGGGCAGGGCAAGGCAGTGCAGGGCAGGGCAGTAGGGCGTGATCACACTAGCGCGACGGGTGGGGTAGCGCTACTCGGTGGGCCCTAAGCGATTGGTACTAGGCTAGGACCTGCTCTGATACCATGTCAGAATAGTGAAGAGGGATGGATCAACTAGCAGCAGGATGGGTGCAAGTAGCAAACCCTAACTGGGTTGTACCCCACATGGGCCACCCTACTACAGCCTACACAATCAGCTGCATATAAGTTTGACACGGTCTTCCCGCTCCCGTCCTCGTACTCAATGAACGAAAATGTGGGAGCACCATGGTGCGAAGGGTTAGCGCAGACATAGTGCGGCCTGATGAGGCCGTGGTCCGTCTCGCACGCTGGTAGAGCCAGCGCCGTGTGGACCTGACGAGAGGGGTAAGGGGGCAGGAGAGGTGGCAGGGTGGGAGTACGATTGAATACAGGGTGGAAAAGGAGAGCGAGCAGGGTTTAGAGGGAGGTGGACTGGATTACAGAACCGGCAGTACACATGCACGGATATGATTCAAGGAGAGAGGGGAAAGAATTCCCTGCCAGGGTATGTGGGAAGAGGGTGCACGGGGGAATGCGATGGATCAAGGCTTTGAGATGCTTGGAGTTTAGGCATAAACCCATGACCCAGTCCATGTGGACTTGGGATCGGGTGGGAAATGTAGTGGGACAGATTCAGGTGTGTTAAGTGACGGAGGATGAGAAGTAATAAGGCTTACCAGGCGTGGACAGGAGTGAGATAACGGGTGTTGATATTTCAACAGCAGAAGCACGCACTTACCCACGTTGGAAAAGAGACGTAGCCAAAGAGGCGCGCCAAAAAGGCGTAGGGCCCGATGCCTCCCGGGATTATGGCATCGTACGTCGCGTACAGGTCCAGGGGAGCCTGCTCCCTGTCATTGATCGCACTGGGCATCCTGGATCACTGGCGGCACTGGTGGGGCAGACCACCGGCGATCGCCTGCCACACGCAAGGGACATGGTGAGCAAAAATTCAAAGGCCAAACGAGCTACAGGGTTCAACCACTAGCGTTCCACACGGAATCCACTAACATATCACCTTATGGACATCATTCCACGATTTTGGATGGGGTTACACGCCTACTTACCCGGCGCATCGCGGTGTTGTACTGGCGATCGCCTTCGAGGTTGATTGGGAGGCGGGTCAGTAGAGCAGCGTTGGTGTTGTGCTGTGCAATCACACGCCCTACGTCCCGATGGTTGGATCGTCGGTACGGCCTCTTGCAGGTGCGGATGTGTGCGTTCTCGTACACCGCCGCGGAGTATTCTCCTGGCAGCCCCCCCCTTCGAATCGCCTCTGTGAGGTGAAGCAGCAAGTGCACCTTCACAAGGTTCCGCCCAGAGTGCTCGTGTGGAAAGGTGCTTTCCACCAACTGCACCATCCTGAAAGCATGGGATCAAATGGAAACAGTGGCAGACATTAAACGTCACGCCGGATAACTGCAGCGCACGTGGAAAAGCATACACACAGCATACCTGCGATTGGCGGTGTCGAACGCGCTCAGACTCTCATCTGTGTGCTCCACTGCCCGCACGAATGTCTCATGCCAGTCCAGAAAGGCGACAATCGTGTGGCTACAGATGACCGCAACTTCCCCCTCCAGCACGAAGGGTACAATCTGCCACACAGGAAGCGCGTAGTTAACAAAGGCCATATGACAACCGTCTCCAACAATGGATAAGTGTAAAAGACCAAACACTTGAAGGTAGGGCACACCATCATGACACCGGCGTGCTCCGACGCGGTGAAGTTGGCACTAGAGACCCAGTAGCTAGCGTCTCCAGGAGTTAGTAGTCATGCCTACCTTGTGCCTGGGTGTAGTGCATTCTAGCGCCTACACCATATGAAGGATGTTGACAGCACATTAGACATCTTGGGCCGTAGTCGCAGTGTGTTTGACCTCGTGAGGTTGCATTACAATGGGCAAATGCCTAGGGGCATACGTACCCGTCTAAGATGGCGGCGCGTACATCGGGGCCCCGCAGTGCAGCGCGAAGGTACAGCCAGAACCCAAGGTAGATGATGTGTAGGATGTCTGGCATCTGGGACAGGTAGGTGTTCTCCCAAAGTGTACGGGAGAAGTTCCACTCCCAGAGGAACGACTGCATGCACAGAGAAAAAAGGGGGTAAACACTTGGCCAACCGCATGGGCTGAACAACCAGGCCACGACAGGCGCTTAACTCCAACTTAGAGCCGATACCTACCGTGACAGAGAGCGTGGAGTACGTCCTAGCTAGCCGAGGATTCGCAATCAGTGATGATTGCTGGTCCACAGAGCGCGACTTCGACGCAGCTGTCATCATTTTCCTGAGCTGCCCCTATCCACGTAGCACAGGGAGCATGGCATCTGACTATCATGCTGCTGAGTTCACAAAACCTTGCAGGTTTCTAGGAAGTTTGCTACGTAGGAGAAGAGCAGAGGCCATATGACCTGGTCCACCCCCCATGGATCGCGGGCCGCAATCCTCCTGTGTGCAGTGCAGCACGGAATAAAAAAGGTTTTATGATTAGGCAATACAAATGGAATCCCATCTATAGATGCCAGCGAGGTGAGAGGGGGTAGGGCGGTCATACGCAAGAGCGCAGTGAGGAAAGGGCGGACATACGAACATGCGGTGTGAGGCAAGGGGGGACCTAGGAACTTGCGGTGTGATGCAAGGGAAGAATGAGGCAAGGGAGTATTGAGGCAAGGGCGAAGAGAGGCAAGGGCGGAAAGAGACCAGGTGGGCAGAGCCAAGGGCGGATTGAGGCAATGACAGAAAGAGGCAAGGGCATAATAAGGCCAGAGCAGACTGAGCGAAGGGAGGACTGCGGCTTTGGCTGGGCCATTGGCTGCTGGCACTCACGTGTGTGATGCAGCAATCAGGTCAGCGAGGACCACCTGCATCGCAGCTTGAAAGAGCTGCACCTTCTGCTTGGCCGTCATTCCCTGGACAGGCATTGGGAGTAGTGCAAGCAGAATCTTCCCAGAATCACCCCAACGGAGACGGAGGTGGATGTTGGCGAGGCTTAGGTAAACCGCCCAAACCTTCACGCGCTCGTTCCCGCTGAGAATCGTTGCATCACTTGAAAGTATGATGGCTGCCACCACCTGGCCCGGGGCATAAACCTCGTCCAGGGCGCTCTGCCAACAACAAACACAACATTGGCAGCCGTGCACCCGATCAACACAGAAACTGAGCAATGTGGGAACCAGGATTGTGAATCTAGCCCAACAGCATCTGCAATAACCCAGATGAGTGGCGCCTTAAACTACTTACAAAGGAGGTACAACTCAGAAACACCACCAGTACCTCTGCGGCTTCCCACAGATTACCAGTTTCTGGCCTAGTGTACACGCGTCCCGCCACCGAGTGTATCGGACGAGCAAACAGCTGGAAGCCATCTTCATTGTCACGGTGGCCGAATAACTCCACGACTCCCTGCGCCAGAGCAAGGGCGGACAGAGGCAAGGGCGGAATGAGGCAAGGGCGGACAGAGGCAAGGGCGGAATGAGGCAAGGGCGGACAGAGGCAAGGGCGGACAGTGGCAAGGGCGGACAGAGGCAAAGGCGGAATGAGGCAAGGGCAGACAGAAGTAAGGGCGGAATGAAGCAAGGACGGACAGAGGCAAGGGCGGACTGAGGCAAGTGCAGACAGAGGCAAGGGCGGAATGAGGCAAGGGCGGATAGAGGCAAGGCTGGAATGAGGCAAGGGCGGACAGAGGCAAGGGCGGACAGTGGCAAGGGAGGAATGAAGCAAGGGCATACAGAGGCAAGGGTATACAGAGGCAAGGGCAGACAGAGGCAAGGGCAGAATGAGGCAAGGGCGGACAGAGGCAAGGGCGGAATGAGGCAAAGGCGGACAGAGGCAAGGGCGGAATGAGGCAAGGGCGGACAGAGGCAAGGGTGGACAGAGGCAAGTGTTGACAGAGGGAAGGGTGGACAGAGGCAATTGCTAACTCAGTTTGCAAATCGTACCTCGATAGGGCTGGTACACATGAGCTCGAATGTGTGGTCGATCCGTGGGATGCGCACTTCTACCTGCCTGTACACCTGCCTCGCCAACATAAGGCGTAGTCCGTACTGACGGCGTGTTTGGTACGCCAGTGGCGAATAGCCTCCAGATCCAGACGTGGGTCGCGCAAGAGCTTGATAAGCCAGACCGTGGCCTCGTCACTCAGGCATTGACCGTCGTTGCATCCGATGACGAAGCGGAAGAACTCCAAGGCAGTGTTGAACTCGTTCTCGTCGACAGTGCTGTCGTCATCATCGCTCTCTATAGAGTCACCGTCGTCGAAGTCGCTCTCGTAGTCGGACCCATCCTCCAACTGCACTTCGTCATTGGTGCATGTACCGCCAGGGTGTTGGCCTTCAGTGCCCTGCACGAAAAAGGAATGGCATTAGAACTCATTTGGAGTGCGATTACATTGCGTGCAGTTCGAGCCCAAAACAAGCACCAACAATTAACATGAATGGGCATACCTCCTCCATGTCATCCTCATCTTCAGAATCTGAGGTCGGTTCGTCCTCGGCAGTCAGCGATGCCTCGCCAAAAAAGTCATTGATGTCAGCGAAGGGGTGGCTGCGGAGGAAGCGAAGGTAACGCCTGCGTTGTCTCCGGCATTCATGACTATGCAGCTTGTGAGCTACCAGCGCTGTGCGTTGCGTGAAGTGCTCGAGGCACCATTCACATGCGAAAACGTAAGATACAGGCGGCAGCGCAGCAGCCCTCCTCGCAGGCTTCGTCTGATGAAATACACATCGTTTGTGTATTTATTTATACCATTAGCCGCAGTCCATGCGACAGGTGGTTCACGAGACATTATCGTGGCGATGCCTGCCATCTACTTAGTCACTCTAACATCCGCGCCACGGGCCTCTCCGGGCATTCTTACTAGCCACGTCAGGCGGGTCATTAGTGACTAATCAGGTGAATGTTAATCTGTGGCCACGTCTGATGGTTCACTGTCAAGTCGACGATGAGACGTTAAATGCTTCTAAGGCGTATATTGGATATTGTTGATTGTGCCAGATGACGCGACAGGCACGTTCTCTAGCCCAGCGCCTACTAAAAATGTAGATACTAACTTGGAAATTGTAGGACACAACTTCGTGTGTGAGGAAAGGCGTGTCATAACCTGTTTAGGGCGCGTGACTTTGTACAGTAAAGTTAGAAAAATGATCGAACTTTTGGTGGTAACTTCCTTCGCAAATGTCGCCAATCTGTTCGCTAAACGCACGTGTGTTTCCCCTTTCTTGGCCACCTGATATGAGCCTGAACCTATCTCGACCTTTCAAGACAAACAACTCGAGCACGAAAACCCGCTCGTGTGTCCGCCCGCCCATCCGAATGCATTTTGGCGAAATCAGCGACACGGGACAACGCATCGCCCGCACGTTCAGTATCGTAAAAGTGGTTGCCGACATTGTCAACAAACACGTGGCAGGATACGTGCCACGACACTCTTCTCCCGTCCCTTCCGTTCCATGTCATACGAAAATGCAACAATGCACCGTGCGAACGTTCTTGACATTTCACATTCAAAATCCCACCATCCTACGCATATCATTTCAGAACTAGTATCCACAATTCTATCCCGCCATACTCGTCAGACACAACGCTCCATCTCATTAAAATGATGTGGAGTAGGCTTGACACGGGGGCTATTTGTAGCCTGTGTGTCATCGCGTCACGCACCATTACGTGCCGCTCTGTCAAGATGCCACAACCGGGTAACCTACAGCGGAGGGAAGCGGCTCGGGGGCCTCTGTAAAAGTTCAACTTCGATACTCGAGCTTTCATTGACCGTGTGATTCCTTTGAAGCGAGGCACACCACCTCGATTTACAGTCCGCGATACAGTCGACCCCAGGTCGACCTAGGGTCGAATTGTTAAAAGTCGACTAAATGTATAAGTTTTGCAAAAAAACTGTACAAAGTCACGCGCCCTTAGGGTTTCAGATGACTCGCACAATCATTTCGCGCAGTGCTGTGACACCTCAGCAAGCGTGTATCAGATATTTGTTTTGATTCAACATGATTCTGCACAACCATTCATGTGGGCTAATTTCGTCTACACCATACGTGTACCCCTCTTGACGCGCCGCACCGGAGTGTGTCGTGCAATAACGAGTCATGCGAGAGATACTTTTACAATCACAAGAACGTACTTTCATCTTGTGCCTTCCCTTAGTTCTACACCTTCGTCCAAGCCAAATTCTCATACACCTACCCACTAATGACATCCTCTGCATCCAAGTTCGTTTCGGGAACCGTGAACCACCAGAAGCGACACTGGCGATGCGCACGCCAGGACAACACCGAGCTGTACAGCCAATACTAGGGCCCAGAGTGGCCGCGCACAAGGACAGCCAAAACAAGGCCTGGTAACATTCACGTGTTTGTGTGCGACTACCCCGACATTGCAGCTGTTGTCATGCAAGCTGAATACCCACGTCTGCTGGCCAGTGACGCGCAACCGACTCCAAAACAGCTTGCAGACAGCATTGAGCACCTGGTACTACTAGCCGCGCCACTGCTTGGGAGCTGCATCGCATCTCAGAAGACAATCTTTGAGGCTTCCTTGGGCTGGAGCACGATGCTGATCTCCCATACCTGGACCTCCGCATAATTGAGGCTGCTTTCAACGACGACAGAGACCCTGCATCCGTTCGTGAACGTGCTAATGCGTTTGTGAAGCTTGCAGCATCGGGGTACCGTGGCGTTAACGTCATGGCAAAAAATGGCGACGAAATCGTGGCCTCCGAGCCGCCAAAGAAATATTTTCAGTAATACCTCATGGAGTTCGCGCATTCCGAAGGATGGGTGGTAAGGTTTCTGTTAGATCTCGTAGCTTAGGACTTTTGTTAGAATACTAGCTAAGGCTTAGAAGCCATGGCTAGGGTTTAGGGTACACGAAAGAGAAATAGGAGAAGAGGGTTGAACTAGAAAGGAGGGGGGTACAAATAGCAAGCCCTAAAATGGTTATACTCATTATTGAGTACCCCACTACAGACTAGACAAGCATTATATTCTGACACACCCCCATAGTCAAAGTGGGGTACAATCAACACAACAAGCAGGCAAAGCAGTAGGTCACACTGATAAGCAAAGCTAGAGACTATCACAGAGGGCAAGTGAGGAGGAGAAACTGTGGGGGCAAGAAGATGGGAGGCGACGGCTGAAGCTGCAGACACACGGGCAACAGGAGTGCGCAGAACTGTCGCTACCAGGCTAAACCCATACTACACGGCGACAGGCGCAGCTGGCTCTCTGTGCTCCCACGAGTGCTCACACTGTGGCTACCGGGCGCAGAGCCCCGGACTACTCAGGCCACAGGGGGTCGTGGCTCTCTGGACTACCAGGAGTGCTCACACTATGGCAACCGGGCGCAGAGCCCCGGACTACTCAGGCCACAGGGGGTCGTGGCTCTCTGGACTTCAGGCGCTGCGGACGACAAGACGACTGCCTCCTCTAAACTTCCCCCAGCTGTCCCACACCCGTGTCACACACCCCCTGCTGCACCTCTAGCACTGCTCACACGCCACCCCCCTCGTACAACTCCGACGGCTCCAACACATCCACCCCCCTCAGCGGCAGCTGCAGCAGTGGGAGACGGAGGAGGAGGAGGAGCAGGAGACGCCGCACACACCCACTCGTCACCCCCACACTCGCCACCCCCACACTCGCCACCCCAAACCCTAATACAGGCAGAAGCGCGGGCAGCAGCGGGGGACACAGCGGGCAGCAGCTCGGGGAACGGCGCGCGGCTCCGGGGTAGGCTGCCCGGGCCGCGCGCGGGCCTGGCGCAGCCCGTACGGGCCGCGCGCGGGCCTGGCGCAGGTCGTACGGGCCGCGCGCGCGGCCTGCGCGGGGCCCAGGGGCGCTTCGACGGGCGACGGGGGGCGCTTCGACGGTCGACGCGGGGCGACGCGCGGGTCGACGGGGCGCGCGGCGGGAAGAAAAAAAAGGCGTCGCGTGCCACGGGGCGCGCGACAGACAGGAAAGCAGCGGAAGCACGTGGGGCCCACAGGCCAAGAGCGTAACAGCTCTAGTACCATGTTAGAATACTAGCTAAGGCTTAGAAGCCATGGCTAGGGTTTAGGGTACACGAAAGAGAAATAGGAGAAGAGGGTTGAACTAGAAAGGAGGGGGGTACAAATAGCAAGCCCTAAAATGGTTATACTCACTATTAAGTACCCCACTACAGACTAGACAAGCATTATATTCTGACACTTTTTAACCATTCGAAAGCCCCTTGTGTAATGTATGATGCCACTCGACTGGCTTTTGTGTTATCCTGACTTGTGCTTTCTTTCTTGAACCCACGCCATGCTCGGATTTCCTACACATGTAGCTCGACAGAGGTTTTTACAACTATGTTGGGGCTCCCGACGCGCGTGAGGATTTCAAAAACGCGAAACTTGCGGGCCGTATACCAGACAAGTTCCAGCAGGCTTCACACATTGGCGGTGCTAATGATATGGGAGCGGTGTTGCTTGCACACGCGCTTGGCATGATGGCGTGGTGGGAAATATCGCCGCGTGAGGCGCGAGGATCCTTGCTGTGCACCATGCAGTGGCATTACTGCAAGTTTCCGTGGGAAACGCCGACTATTTGTGAGGGGCCGGTGGTATTCAGGCTCGTCTCAAAGGAATATGACGACTTCAAAATAGACCGTGACTGGTGCCTGAACAGGGACTACAGCGACGAGTACTGTCCATATGTACACCCTTAGGGTCGTACTCAATGCGTACTTTGCAGGATGCTTAGGTCCTCACTTGCTCTGTAATGCAATATGCATTTTGTGAGCAAACTGAATAGACTAAAAGGTACGGCCACTCTGGAAGTGAAAGAAACCATACGCGTTATATAATGGGCATGGCATGTTCCGCCTCCGTGTGGCGATAGTCACTACTTCCACGCACATTGGAATTGTTTGGACGACCAGGGGGGCAACATGTCTTGTGCGTTCCGGCCCGCAGGGACAGATCATGCCTGCACGTGGCGTGTGGGTGTCATTCGCGAGTCATCGCGCCAACGCGGATAATTTACAGCGCGGCTCACAAATATCACAATAATTTACAGTAATCTTATCACAAATATCCTGACAGCGCGACACTCGACCGTGCTGAATGGCATGGCCGGATTCCATAGGATAACGAAAGTGGGCGTGACTCAACGCTCGTGCGAGCGTGTCAGCGCACCTTGCGCTGGCGTTAGTGGGGGTAAGTGGTGACACGTATACACGCACGAAAGGGGGGGGGGAGGGGGGGGGGGGGGGGGGGGAATTAAATTATGGATGGTGTGTGCGTCCTGATAAGACGCTACAATAGCGTGACGTGTTCCTGGGACCACAGCTCCGACCTGACGATACCGCGTGTTTTGTCAGCTCTTTATTTTAAGGCACCTAGCGGTCACACTCACCGAGAACAATGTTGGCATTGTTGAGCGCGAGGTGAGCATGGATTCCGCAAGGTCACCATACGAACCGATGCGCCGAACGGGTAGGTCGAACGCGGGACGACGAGCAGCTAACGAGGACATGGTATACCATGGCGCTGCCTCGCGTGTCAACTCTGGACGCACCGGACGCGCACCATCAGCAGGCGATGACTCTGACGACGAAATGACCAACACAGAAAGGACACGGGTTATGCGACGTGGGCGGCCAACCAGGAGGAAGACGAGGACGTTGGCGATCCGTCGGAAGTTGCCCCAACCAAACTCGTCGACGAGGACGCGGAAGGTTAGAAGATTGTTGTTTCAGTTATATGCACGGTTGAC